TTTTTGTTGCTCTCCAATGTCTTCACGTATGTTTATACATTTGTTATAATTAATCCCATCAAAAGGATAGTCAAATGCAAGCTACTACACCATTAATAAAAACTTCCATTGCATATTTAATTTCAATTATTATATTCTTAATTTCTTAATAACTGCTTTACTTGTTTTTTCCAACACTGTTGTATCTTTTTGAAGAATCTCTTATCTTTACTCATTTTTTATCCCTCTCTCAGTTTTAAAACACATTAGATGTATTTATTTTACATTCTGTATCTGATTAGTCCGATATACGACACACTTATGTGGCTGATTCTGCTTGTTCTGTTTCTGGCAACTAATGCTTATGGCAGCTTTTTTCCTTAAACATTTATTTCATTTTTTAAAATGTGAGCTCGTGTTCCCTGGAACTTTATCTCCAGCAGTTCTTTGTGTCCTGATTTGAGAACAGATTCTTCCAGAGAGAATATGCATCCATTCTTGGGAACTTGGCCATGCTACCAACATGGATTCATGTTCATTTAAATTCTTGCTTGGATTTTTCCAACCATGTTAGACTGGGCACCAAACTCCATTAAGACCAGCCTGTGGCCAGGAATTCTTAGAAAAGAGTTTTTTTGTTCTTCTACCAAGAGCCAGTAATGAGAAAAGCATGTTTCCTTGCATTTACTCCGTCATTACAAATTTAAAATTTTTTTCTTGTTTTCTATTTCTCCGAGAGTTTAATCTATGTGGTGCCCAGCCTTATGTGATGTTGTCTGATTCAACTGCCCACGCTGCTCAGATCCAAAGCTTGGTCTCCTGTGTTTGCAGGGCACAACTACTAAAATAAGACCTCTAGGCCACCTGCGATTGCTGGGTGCACACAAGTTGGCAGCTTCAGGGTTTGATTTTCACCAGACGCTAATGCTCACGCTTGGTTCCCAGCCCCAGAGGAATTCCCACGCTGTCTCAGCCATGCATTTGATATTGCTTTTCACGTTCCATTCAGTGGACACTTTGTAGCGAGAGGATTTCAGGATACCTAGTTTAATATATAGCTAGAAGTGGAAATATTCAGCATTTACTTTTTAATTGCTAAAGACTGTAGTTCTTACTCTTCATTTAGCTGGTTGGCAAATAAATTAGCAGGATGGATAACAATGGCTAACAGGAAAGTTTTTTATTTATTTATTTGGAGACAAAGTCTCACTCTGTCACCCAGGCTGGAGTGCCGGGGCACAATCGTAGCTCACTGAAGCCTCGAACTCAAGGGGTCTTCCTACCTCTGTCTCCCGAGTAGCTGGGACTACAGGCATGCACCACTGCGTAAGGCTAAATTGTTTTATTTTTTGTAGAAATGGGGGGGTCTCATTAAGTTGCCTTGGCTGGTCTCGAACTCCTGGCCTCAATCGATCCTCCCACTTCGGCCTCCCAAATTGCTGGGATTACAGGTGTGAGCCACCGCGCCCGGCTGAAAGTTATAAGCATTGACCTCCGTGTTTATAAACACAGAATATGCTATCTGATGTTTTTTTTTAAATAGCGATGAGAAGGAAGAGATGAATCTAATGAACTGTCTGCATCTCTCACGATGCTTCTACTTCCATAGCGCTCCAAAGGGTTTCCTTAAAGAGCTCTGAGAAGCACAGCCAAGGCAGGAACTGTGAAGAGAAGTGATTGAGGCCTCGTGCTGGTGCCCCACCAGCTCTCAAAGCTGTCTTTCATGGGTAAAATAAAGCTTGGATCCATCAAAATGTTTCCTGCAAGTTCTCCAGATTTCACATAAAAGGGCTTTCATTTGACTCCTTCACCGCGGAGAGAAATCTCTTAGCAATCACACATAGTGAATCTGATTCCTACGTCTAAAGCACACAACTCTACCACGTAGATGATAAAATCGATTTTATAGACTGGTAAATAGGTTAACTGTAAAAGCTTTAGCGTGGTAGCTCCACACATCGTAACTGCTGACATGGTGGCTATTCTTATTTCCTTATATAAAAGTTCTGAGGTGAGAAACTTTTAATATCTTTGTAAGTATCGAGTTCAGAGATGGTTTAATATCCTTGAAGCATAATATTATCAAAATGGACGCAGGGAAACTCAGCCTGGGTTCCTCATCCTCGCGGGGTTCCCTGCCGAGGTCTGAAGGGACTTGTTTTTTCCTCAGTGATAACTGTCCAGTTTTATTACAGTTTCTCACTGAAAGCAGTTTATGTGGCTCATGGCATTTCTTTCTGTAGTGTGGCATGCCAGGGAACTCAGAGGCATCAGTGGGTTACAAAGATGGACAGCAGGAAAATCTGTCCTCAGGGAGCCTTTCGTCCGGTGATGTGATTCCCAACCTTGGTTGCACGGTAGAACCACCTTGAAAGATTTCAGAAAAGCTACCAACGTTTACAAGTTTATCTTCTCTCTTTCTACAGACAGTGGATATCTTGGGCAGGAGTTATACTATCATCTCTCGTTATTCCTTTTGTTTTTTGAGAGAGAGAGAGAGGGTCTCACCCTGTCACCCAGACTAGAGTGGAATGGCACAATCAGAACTCACTGCAGCCTTGCACCCCTGGGCTCCAGTGATCCTCCTGCCTCAGCCTCCCAAGTAGCTAGGACTACAGGCGAGCGCAACTGCACACAGCTATTTTTTTTTTTTTTTATTTTTGTAGAGATAGGGTCTCACTATGTTGCCCAGGCTGGTCTTAAAGTCCTGGCCTCAAGCAATCCTTCTGCCTTGGCCTCCCAAAATACTAAGATAACAGGTGTGAGCCGCCGCATCTGGCCTCCTTATTCCTTACAGACATTTCCCATCTGTAGCAAGAATCAACTAAAACCTAAGGGCAAGGTATAAAAACTTACCTACCGGGTACAATGTATACTTTTCTGGTGATGGGCACACTAAGAGTCCCGACTTCTGCATTATACAATTCAGCCATGTAACAAGAACACTTGTACCCCCTAATATTTTGAAATAAAAATTATTTTTAAAATTACTGAGCAAAAATAATTTAAAAATCCAATTTGAAAGGCATTCTATTCTGTGAATCTTCAGTAGGACTCTCACATAGGATTGAAACATTAAATTCTTAGGTCAAAAAGAATGTACTCATCACATTGCTCCCTGCATTAAGTGTACCAGTTTCCAAGACCATACCCTCCAAAGTGAAAATAACAGCTGTACCAAAATTAAAAAGAAAATTGAAAATTGCAATTATAGCACAACGTTTTGGAGGGGAATGTCTCCTATGATACTATAAGCGAGAGAACTTGTCTTACCAATTTGAGGTAACCCTCAGCATCTAGAATTAAGTTTTCTGGCTTCAGGTCTCTGTAGATGATACCTAGTCGGTGCAGGTAATCGAATGCTTCTGTCACGCAAGCGACGCAGAATTTGGAGGTGGGTTCGTCGAAGCTGCCTCTGCAATGAAATCATTTCCTCTCTTAACACTCTGGCTGCACATCTGTGGTGCTGTTCTAGGCATCAATTATGGTCATGATAAATTTATGCACATCAATATCTTGCAGGACATCGACACGAAAATGTATTTTACACTGCCTGTGAATTAAGCTGTTCGCTGATCATAAAGCAGTTCAGGAGAATTCTCAATGCAAACACAAACTACTTCACTAAAATCAAAATGTCGACATCCAAACAATCATTTCTGGTAATCACACACGAACGTACAAAATAGAAAAATAAAGCAAAGGCTTTTTTAGATATCGATCACACTCTAGAGGAAATGCAACTATTATTTCAGTGGACGGCGTGGACCAGACTTTTGTAATTTATTGCTTGACTAAAAAACGACTCGAGTGACTATTTTAATTTCCTGTTTGTATAGCATGTAACAGCGACCCAGGTAGAAACGGGGCCATAACTCTTTCCTGTTCGGTGGCCCCCTGATCTTTGATTAGAGTTCCTTCGGTCAGCGCTGTATGTATTTTTTGTGCTAAATTTTTTTTACTGTTCTCAGCCTCAGGATTCATACCTGTAAAATGGGTTTGCTACTTACTTACCAGGGTTGTTTCCAGGATTAAGCACAGTGCCTACCAGGTAGTGGGAACTCCTTTTTCTAAAAGGATTTAGATTGTCTAAAGAGATCTGCCTATTGCAGCAAAGAGGGAAGAGACTAACGCTTTTGCAGGTCTCATGAAGGTCTCCTCACCCTCCCAGCTTCCCCCGATTTGAGTCCATCCGACAAAACGTTCCTAAAAACACATTTATCTTCTACTCAGATGTTCAGTGCTCTTTTCTTGCCTGGGTCAGTGATTTCCAACCATAAGTCTAGATTAACGCTTCCTGAGAAGCATTTAAAAAATCATTTATTGGATGCCATCCCAGATAAAATGAATCATAACCTCTGGCGCCGGGGCCCAGCATTTTTACTTTGTGAAAACTCCGCACGTGATTGCAGCATGCAGCGGGGCCGAGAAACAGCGGCGCTGGCATCGGTGTGGCATTAACTTCCCCATACGAGCTGTGTGACGTTGGATAATTCACACCCTCTCTTAGCCTGGGATTCTTTAATCCTTAAAATAGGCATGTTAATAACTACTTTACAGTGTGTGTAGGATATTATTGTAATTTAGCTAAGAAAATATTACTATTATAGTAGCATTTTATTGAATCAAGTGATACTTTCTTATAGTCATTTCCTACTGATTTCCTTCCTGCCTCCTTAAATGATCACGAATGCAGCATCCTCTAGACCACAGACGAGCAGACACAGTGTACAAAAAGCTGTCGCGTAGAAACTCTTTCTCGTTACCTGTCCCTCAGTATACTCCACAGCTCTCCACCTAGGCAGGCCTCCAGAAGCATATACACGTACTTATTGTCCTTGAAAGTACGATATAATCTGTGAAGACAGATAAAAACACGGTTATTATTAGAAATCCAGTTTTAAAACCTTTTTAAAGTTGCTTAAGACGATAATCATAACATCCTGGACATCAACCCTCATCGCAATACAAATATCCTACAGCCACGCTGGGCTTCTTGCCAAATTCTCTTTGCTCCTTCCTGCTGCCTTGCTTTGCTCATGAGAATTCTTTTACTTAGACTGCCCTCCCTCCACCCACGGACTGAACTTCTCAATCTCAGTTTCGCTATAAAGCTGCATCCATTCTTCAAGGTCAAACTCCAAGGCTGCTTTCTTAATAAGGCAGCTCATTATCCTACCAACCACCTATGGCCTCTCCTTCCTCCAAAAAGCCAGAGACCTCTGCTTGCATCACCTTCCAGATCTTTCTTGCATAACAGTTATTCATGCCCAGGTCTTATGTCCCCTAGTTGGTTAAGTGATGTTGGATTTCCTTGGAGACAGACTCCGAGACCGAGATTCGTAAGCATGAGATTAGTGGGGAGTGTACGTGGGAACATCTGCGGGGGAGGAAGGAAGCAGATTTGGGCAGAGGGAGATTGGAGCTACGATCTGGTTTCAACAAAAGCCTCAACTCCAAGGGGCTCTACAGTCGTAAGATGCAAGACGTCCCTGAAGACAGAGTATAATGCCGGGCAAGGTGGTTCTCTTCGCCTGAGAATAATGCCCAGGGAAAGACTGAGCTAGAGCCCTCCACACTCTCAGCAGCAGGGGCGGTGGGGGGCAGGGAGTGGGGAATGGCAGCCTCCGTCCTGAAATAGGACCTGCACAAGGCACCGTGTTTCAACATTGGGTGAAAGCAGTTTCTAGGTCTTAACCATCAAGAGACCCCTCTTACTCCCTAGCGCCGTGCCCAGGATAAAGCAGACAGTAGGGCAGCTATCTCATGCACAAAGGAAGCAACCTGGGCAAGCGGTTCAGCAGGTGGGCTCTGGAACCAAACCACGCAGGC